CTGGGGTTTAGCGGTATCCCTTGGGATCCAGCTTGAGTATGGAAGAAGGGAGTTTTATGTTTTGGCGGAGAGGCTTCAGATCGAAAGCTCCCGAAACAGTGATTTTTCCCTTCTATCTTTAATTTGTAGAGTACTTTAAAGAGTTCATGTTGGGGTGGGAACTGAAAAATTTGTATTTATTTTATTTTAGGTTCTGGTACATAGCTATCCTTCATTTGTTCTGTTTAGGATATTTCAATTATAATTACTGTACTTACATAGTATAAATCAATTACTCTGTTTAGTATACTTCAATAATTCTGCTTATTTATTTTTACTGCATTTAATCTTTTTACTCTGTTATTAGATTCATTCATATGTTTACTTAGTTATACTTTATTTAATATTTTTACTCTGTTATTAGATTCATATAATATTTTTATATTTATAATCTTCATGTAACTTCCACAATTCTCTATATCCTTTTGTATCTTGTTCACCTCAGTCCTGAAGAAGACCTGCATAGTGTGGTCGAAACGTCAACTTGAAATAAAATATTTCTTTCACAATTTTAAGTCTTTTCATTACCGGCATCCCGGACCATCATCTTCCTCAAGAATTGTATTATCACATTAAATTAAAGACTATGCCAACAAAGTCGCAAGTAACAGCTAATTTAATGAAATGCGCTCTTTTTAATCCTTCTATACACTTGACAAAACTAGGTTCAGGAATGTGTGACAGATGGTAGGGGAAAACAATTTGGTCCAAAATACCAGTTCTCTCAGAGTGTGGCCGATACTAATTGTTCAAATTTTGTTGTTGCGATCATTGTCTTGGATGAATTGTGAGTTAAAAACAATGTATAAATAAATAACAGAAGAAATCCCAGTGGACGAAATAGTGGCTGCAGGATAGAGATAAGTAGTCTCACAATAAGCTTTTCAGGGAAAAGAATGTAAGCAACTATAAAAATTACTTTAAAATGAGGTGTCTAATTTAGCTATTTATTGTAGGTACAGTAAATAATATCCCATAGGTTAAAGGTACTCATTGATTAAATGGCCAAGAATTGTTGGTTTTACTGCAAACAGACAAAAACCTAAAGCTCTGCTCAAAACTGAACAAATGGAAACCAAGTTTGTCACCGTCCATGTGCAAGCAAAAATAGTTAACAAGATTCGCATGAATCATGTTCATGGAATTGGTTTACCATTTATGCAGAAGCGGTCCACTAAAGTGTCTTTTATTGCCCAACCCTAAGTGGACACTTTTCTATTAATGATTTATTATATAATCGGTAGAAGATAATTTATTTTTAATGTATGTTATTTCATTTGGTTAATATCCTCACAGGGGTGCCCAGAAGAGAGCTGCATGGTGCAAATCTGCAGTATACTAAACAGAGTAATTGTTTAGTATACTTCAATAATTCTGCTTATTTATTTTTACTGCATTTAATCTTTTTACTCTGTTATTAGATTCATTCATATGTGCAAATTTTGGCAACAAAATTTTTAGGGAGAGGGCACATTTTTACAGGGTTTTTAATTTTTGTGAGATTTCAATTTGGAGGAACTTTCAAACCACAGGAAACAGTGAGTGTAAGATCAACATTTTTCTTATTCTACTTTCGCTGTTTCTGTTTTTGAGAAGAGGAAAGGAATAAAATTTCTTGAAAGAGAGAAATGCGCCATCAACTTTGGGGGATCCCAAGTGCCATCCCTGTATCTCCATGACTATTTAGATCTTTGGTGTGTGGTAATTAAATTTAAAAATGCATAATTTATTTTTCTACATAAATTAAATAAGTTAAGTATAAAACATAGCTCAAGTATTCCGTACCTGTATTGTAGTAATCTCTCAAATATTAATTAAATATTAAAGGATCCATGAGGACCATTTTTCAGCATACTAACTTCCATGTGAACATCAAATGATTTTAGAAGATACACATTTTAATTCATAATAATATTTATATTTATATTTATAGGTGTAATTATTACTGGAGTTTGATCCCATGGAGACTCCTGATGTGATGATTTTTCAAATTTTTGTCAGATATCCCAACAAAGATATTGCAGCTTGAAAACTGAAAAAAAATAAAATATTCATTTTTACTTTCACTTACCTATATATGTCTCAGTTTTCAACAGAAATTAGAGTTTTGAGTTCCCTTTAGTCAAAAGAACCAAGTCACACAAAATGGTGTGGGTGTGTGTGTATGTGTGTGTGCATGCGTGTGAACAGTCTAGCTCAAAAACGAAAAGTCCTACGATACTGAAAATACATATTTAGAGTAGATATATACCTGGGATCTTCCAGCAAAGCCTTAAAATCAGCTATCAGAAAAGCAACTTTATATTATCGATTTTACAATTTTCTCAAAAACGGTTCTAACGACTTTGATTAAACTCATTTATAATTTAGTGGTCTATAATATCATTCAGGTCTTATTCCCATTGATATCACTTAACAGTGCTTAAATGCCCAATGTTCAAAATTGCTTCCTCGAAAGTGCCTTTAATTTGGTTTATTTAAACTAATTAACTATCTCTCATTGTTAATAGTTATAAAAGAAGGCTAAATATAATTTTTGAAAGAATTTGATAATTGAGTAAAGGAGAAAAAGGGAAAAATGTTTGTTTAGGTAGAAAATGAATCTCCGGAAATATTAGTGAGAAGGTATACCTATAATATATCGTTGGAAAGCTGAGAATTTTAGAAAAAACTATATCTCATATAGAAAGTAATGGAGAGGGACAAAAAAATTATAAATAATAATTTCTGGAAAAAAACCTAAAATTATTTGTTCAATTATTTTGACGATAAAACATTCATCTGTTTCTCGGCAAACTCCACCAAACATCCACTGCTGAGGTAAAACTCTCTCCACATGATTTTTTCGTTTAGAAAAAAGATTTTCATCTACTTCAACCACTTTGCCAGGTCCTCCAATTTTTTTTCTTGGCCTGTATAACATGTCATAGGCACAAACCTCTCTTAGACATTTGTTCCACGTTACCATAGCTCCGTAGGATAGTTTCAACTGCTCTTTGCCCTACTTCATCGTTGTCAAGCTATGGGACCACCCATAAATCAATTTTAAAGCTGTTAAAAACGAAATCCTCGAGCCCTCCAACCATGTTCCTTTCCTTATTGAAAGTTTTGTGTCACAAGTTTTACGAAAGACGGTTCACAAGTTCTTCTGAAGACGGTAAATACCATATTCTAAGAAGATCCATAATATGACGAAAATAAACGGGAAAAAAATGAAAAATAAACACAAAGGAGCCACAAACTAAAAAAAAATGTAAAATAAACACAAACGGACCAAAAACTAAAAATAATGAAAAATAAACACAAACGGGCCAAAAGTAAAGAATTTAATAAGTGAACGTAATAAGGGAATAACTGAAAACTAAACAATGCAATAACTCAAAAGTTTGGGGGGATAAGAAGAGGGAGGTTATGTGATGTGACATTAGATAAGATAGATAAGTGAGGTTTCAAAACGGCCCTCTAGACAAAAAGTACCAAAATATATTTTTAAATGTGTGTAATTGTGGAAAGGTAAGTTAATCACCACTGATATTTCAGATGAGATTGATAAACACATATGTTCATAATCACACAAAAACAGGCAGAAATATTGTTCCTTCTTTAAGAAACAGTTGATTTTTTTTTCATTTTCATTTGGTAACATTGGCATTATAAGAATATTTGGAATGTAAAAAGGGCTTTGGTATGTAGGCCAGAATTTCCTGAACACAAGTTAATTTTAAAGTCATAAAACATTCCAATGTGTAGTTATTTAGAAATCTGCACATCTTACGAACTCCAAATATAACTAAAAGCCTGAAACAAAAAGGTCGTGATATAATAAAATAAGCTAATTGGATATAATAAAAATTATTTTTGAACTCACGAAACATAAAGGAATGGGCCAACAAAATGTGACTTTTTTTTCTGAAATAACAAGCAACCATTTATTTTTCTGGACTGTTTTGAATAGAGTAACTCAAAGATATCTATAATTATTATAATTTGTAATGAAAAGATAATAATTAACATACCAAATAATTATTATTTATTGTATTAATTATATCTAAAAAATATTAAGCTTTTTAGGTCTATAGTTAAATGTACTTCAATTATCTGTTATTACATAACTTATAAAATTACTCCCTGGAAATTTAATTATCTCTGTAAAATCAATAAATTTATGTAATATACTGCATTGAATAGGTATAATAATAGATTGACCGGTATAATCAACCAACTTTCCTACCCTTGTTGGACATAGTTGTGTCAAACCCAATAAACAAACATTTCAAATTTAAACTTGTTTTCAAATTTATGTTTTTCTAGAAACATTTTTATTCTATCGTATTGTATTGATTAATTCAATAACTAATAGAATAAAGGAAATTAAGATAGTCTGCCAAATAAAGGTGGGTAAATAACATCACAAAAAGATTTTATATGAAGATTTATCCATTTTAGAAGATAGAACCATAACGTTAGTGTTCAGTGTATGAAAGACTTCCACAGATAAGTATATTTGTAGTACTTTTGATAGGGATTGATCAAATACATTAACAGGTGTGATCTATGAAGAGTAATAATAATGCTCTTCCAAAGACACTAAGCATAACAGTATTATAGGCAAAAAAAATATTACACCTAGGTATTGTCAATTATGCATAGACAATTATGTATTTTCATTAATTTGGTATGTATTTTTTCCACTGTCCAAGCTGGATTCAAACCTTCTGAACAATATAACACACTCGACCACCAGGGTATATGAACATAATGAAAAAAAATTAAGTAATAAATCTTTGGTTTGACTTGGTTTATCTAGCATTAAATATTAATAACAGATATTAAATTTACGTAGCCTTTAAGAAGAAAAAGTATTTTTAATGTTCCTCTGTAGATTACTAAATCACTAAAACAAAAATAGATTGTTTAATTACATTTACTCAGGATCAATGGATATTTATCTACAGCAAAAATATGCCTAATTTTGATATTTTTATTAGAAAATTATTAACATTTAATGTAATGTACTTAAATATAATACGAAATAAAAATAATTTTCACAACTTAACTCGTATTGAACATCTTCATGACCATATTTTTATATCTTTTATGCATATCACGAAGATCTGCTTCGAGAGGAGGCATCATTTCTTTAGCTTGAAAATTATTAGGTTCAATTTCAAGAACTTTTACTAAATCAGCATGTGCTTTTTCAAAATCTCGAACTGTATTGTAGCATGCTGATCTCCTTAATAAAGCTTTTACATTCCTAGGATCATATTCCAAAACTTTGCTGGAAACTATAATTCCATCTTCAGGGCGATTCAATTTGAGATGGCATAGAGCGATGTTATTACAGACAATAATGTATAAAGGTAATACCTTTTCTTCTGTCTTGTGAGCAAATATTAGCAAACGAATAGCTCTTTTAAACCTCGAATAAGCTTTAATTATTCGATTATTTCTAAAATGTTCAACTCCTTTCTCTTTATGTTCAATAGATTTTTTAATGTTAGTTTCTAAATCATAATTATAAACGGGCTCTTCAGGAGAAGAGAAATCTAATAAGGTTACTACTAAACTAACTTCATCTAGTTTTAAAAGAGCTTCTTCCTCTTTATTCATAGTCATTAAACATCTTTCAAGCAAACCTTCTAATCTACTGTCCCCACAACCTATAGTGAACTCAAACTCTTTACCAACAACAATTTCTGAGTCCCAAATTCCATCCAGTTTTTCAACTACCAGTTTACAGTGGCTACCATCAATAGGAGTGTTTCCTAGCCAAGAACTGCTTCTTAAAATTTTTTTCTTAGCTCCTTTATACTTTGATTCCCAGTCCCATTTTTCTTCTTGAACCTCCATTTTGTTCTGAAATCCCTAGAAACAAAATGACACCTAAATAAAAGTTCTAAGATAATCATGATTACTGGTCAGATATTGATGATAGAATGTCAATTACAAAATATTTCATAAATTTAAATGGATATAGTTAGAATATCATAATGCATATTGGTAATGATAATGAATAGTGTATTAAGTATCGTATTCAACTGGAATCAAATAATTACCAATTAAAAACCACAGTTTCTATAAGAAAGAAATAGATGGTAGATAAAATAGTTCCTAGTGTAAATAACATTCCTAGTGCTATTTCAGAAAATATTCTGAATATATCTCTCAATTCCAAACAAATTACCAGAAGAAGTAACTTTAAATAACATTTAAACAATAACAAATTATTGTTTGAGTACAAATTCTTAAAGGAGGTACAGGTAAGTAACAAAACATCATCAGATTATATGACAATTAATAGTGAATTGGCAAAAAGCAATAAGAAAACTTATTCTTTTTATAACTCAATAAATATATATAACCTGAAAACTAAAACAAAATTGTGTTGAGGAAGGTTCTTCTATCACAACATAAATTTTGAGTCATAAAATACGTTGAACTTACAAAATTGTCAACTGAAGCCTGCTTTTAACCTTCTGGATTCATAACCTACGGATGAATTATAACCTGACGTTGCAATTCGGTTTGTTTTAACCATCAAAATATTGTTAAATTATTGTAGTGTAATAAACAATCTTCAAAATGTCTTATATGTTAAGTCATCTACACAATGGCTGGCAAGTTGACCAGGCCATTTTATCTGAGGAAGATAGAGTTGTAGTAAGTTGAATTATAATTTTATTATGTTTGTAAATACTAACAATTTGGTACCTGGTCACATTTGCTCTGTATATTGCATTTTGATCTGTATTATTTTTATATGAAGGTAAGATTTGCACTGGTAGTATAAAATAGTTGTCACTTGTTTAATTCCATATACCGCATTTAGTGTAAGTGATTTGTTGCAGTAGATAAGAATTTGTATTATTATACCTATATTTATGCAGAAATAATGCTGTATTATTAAATTAAAGTCCTTTCAATAATTTTACTTCTTCAGAACTAATAGAAAATTGTATAAAAAATTATGTGAATATAATTTGTCATCCAAACCTGAATCACGTTAACTTCATTTTATTTTAATAATACATGTAGAAGTTTTCAAATTGTACTTGATAAAACTAAAACAAAACTTTGTTGTTTTCCAATCATGATTATCTGATAATATAAATAATGTTAATTTTGATCTGCCTGTTTCTTTAAAAATGACTCCCTGAATTTTTACCAAATTAAATTCACTAGTTTTAGAGACAAAATCCTGAAGTTCTTATGCATACAGAAATACTTTGTTGAATTGTATTGATTTTTATAATATACTTTGAAAGAAATCTATATTTACTGTTCATCCCCATACCAAAACCATAAATTGCTTAATATAAGTGTTGATTTGCTCAGTTCACTTCCGTAATGGATTAAACTTTGCTTATAATTTGACCAAGAAATATTTTTTCTTACACTCCTTATAAATCTGAACTAATTGCTGATTATTAATTAAAATCCCCCAAAACTAATGAATGGCCGAAGCCATTGATGCCTCTTATCTAAGTAAAAAATCATCACCATAACTGGCTTATATTAGATATAGTAATTTCGTAATTATAGGACTAAAAAACTGAAGAAGTAAAATAAAATGATATCCTTGCCTTAATTTCTACTCTGGTATTATTTCCCCAGTAATCACGGTTCCCAGAAATTTAAACGGTATAACTCTTTCAATGTAGTATCCAACCAACTTAATATACCCATTATTTCTTACTTCCATGTTGTAACCCTGTATTTAATTATTTCTATTAATTACTATAACCTTTGAGCCAGAGCCTAAGAAGGTTATTCATCACAGGAAAATGTTAGAATGTAAATTACAAAAGTATGTTGTTTTAGATAAAATGAACCTTGTCTTCCATTCCAGACCCATTGCTTTCAAAAATGCTGGATTTAAAAAATATTAGGCCAATAAATTAAAGATCTAAGCAGTCGATATATTGTAAAGATGCAAAACAAGTATTTATTTTTAAAAATTGTATATATGGGATTCAGACCAGGGATTAAAACTTTTATGGAATGTTTTTAAAAGATTCCATTTTAACAGTTCCTGTGAAAATATTTACAAAAAAAGGTCTTTTATTTTATTTATTTTTATTAAAGTTGTAGATTTATGGTAAAAGTTTAACTTTTAATTTAAGTTCTAAAAAAAAAAGTTCTGTTAAATAAGAAGTAAACAGTAAGGCATATAAAAAACATCTAGAGACCATATCTTTGCTCCTAATTGTCCCATTTTACGATATTTTTTTTTTAGGAAATTTAAAAGCCTTAGAAACATCTGATCACAATATCAACAAAAAAGTGTATACTTTTTAAGTTATTCGAAATCTAATTTTACCATCCCTCGTAACTGTTTTCCTAGCTTCTTTTCATTAAATTATGTTATATAAATAAATTTAAAGGGCATCGAGAAGAAGACTTTAGTGAAGTTTCATTGAAATCAGTACATTCGTTTGGTGCTATAGTATATTGCAAAGCAGGATTTTTGGTCGCCATCTTGAAAGGAAAAGGCTGATAGAAATGTAAATGAAGGAGGATCATACTCCAGTGACCTCTAATCTTAAATTCAAATTTGAAAAAAAATTGGTCCTGTAGTTTTGGAGAAAATGGACGGATAGTGGACTGACAAAAAAATGTGTCATGGACATATGGCTCCACAACCCTTAGCTAATTGTCTCACGTGGCTGAGAAAGTTCTTTGCTAAGCCAACCACGAGTTTTCTTTGATTAAAGAGACAACTTCAGAAGGTTGAGTGGTGATGATTGGTCGACCCCTCTTGGCCATACTATCTGCCATCTCATTGCCTTGACTGTAGAGAATAATTGAAGAAAAGAATGGTTGGGATGATCAGTTAAAATAAAAAATAGTAATAATAATGTTGACGATAAAAATAGTAAAAATTATTTTGACTGATCATCCCAACCATCCTTCTTTTTAATTATACTCTAGATACCACAGTTTTAGAAAAATTTCCTCATTTAATAAGATTTAATTTCATATTAATTAAATTGAAGTTTATTAGGGAAAAACTTGAGATTCACCTCAAGTTGTGTAAAAAAAATGATGTAATTTTTTATCCTGTCTCCTAAAAGTAGCCAAAATTAAAATTAAATTCAGCAAAAATTACTGCAATCAATTATTGCAAAGCTTTTATTTTTATGATCTAGGCTTTATTATAATAAAAATAAATTTTCTATTTGTAAAGATTGTTTTTCAAGTAAAGTGGTTATAAACACACAACTTCGGTTTCATAACCATTGAAAAATATTTGAAAAAATTAAATAAAATGTTTATTAAGCAATTATATTTATTATAATACATCCCAGATAAAGTTTTTCTAAAAATGGGGTAACTGTTATATAGTTGGATGATGATAAAATAAAATTATGAATAATTTATGATTTAAAACAAAAAAAAAACAAAACAAGAATTTAGCTTAGTTTAGCTGCTCAAAAGTCCTCTTTGATTAGATTTAACGATGACAAACTTAGATTTCCTGTTTTTCTTCTGAAAATCGGGCCATTGTTTATATAAACCTTTTTGTAGCTCTTGAGGTCTCACCATAACTTTTAATATTTCCTTCTACATACGGGACACCCTGCATACAAAGAGACATAAACATATTAAGAACTTTCCTTTCTTTCTTAAAAAGCATATCCTTTTGTTGTTTATTGTTAGCATAATAACGTGATTCATATTCTTATTACCTTGAAGATAACACATTCTCCTAATGTCCACTATTGGTGTGGATATTTTCATTTAGATCTATTTTTATGGATATTATTATTGTTGGATATTATCTATTAGATCTAGATAAATTTTTTAAATTTATTTATATCTAATTAGGCAATCTGTAAAAATCTGGCTTGTTCTTTTCTGTATGAGTTCTTACATTCCAAGTTCCTATTGATAATCACTTAATCATTTCTTTTCCCAGTTGTTAGCCACTTATTTGTCCTTATTATTTTAGTTACTGTGTCTCTTTTTTTGTAAAATAAAATTTTGTAGTAATGTTAATGAACTCATGAGACAATTTAGAATTGATTAATCACATTGTTGGTTATTAATTGATTAATTAGAACAAATTGGCTTCAGTTTGCAGATAGTCATTGTGTTTATATTTAGGAAAATAAAAATATAATGTGATAATTAAGGATGAAAATTTCAAAGTATTATATTTTCTATATTGTTGAACCAGTTATCTTTCTTTACAAAATATCAGTGGTTCTTCTACACTTTTGAGACAAACAAAATAATTTTATTGAGAAAACCTGATAGATAAATTTTAGCAATTGATTAGAGAAATATATATGAAAACTTAGTTGGTCATGAAACATTGTCTTTCCTCCATTTATTAAATTTTATTTTATGAATTAGTTCACCAAATCTCTACCCATATACCTATGTGTTCATTTTTCAAAATCGAGTTGAAAGAGGAAATTTTTCCATAACCAGATCATAAACTTTGTGCAGTCCCAGAAACAAAGAATCAACCTGAAAAAGATGTGTCTTTCTTGAATAGATTACTCAAATATTTTGCATTTGAACACAAAAAGTTCTAAAAATGTTTTAGAACACTAGCTGAATACATATTCAAAACTCTAGGCTATAAAAGAAGTCTAATGATACATTTTCGGCTACTTGTACACGTAATGATCCATTTTCGGCTACTTGTGCACATAATGATACTTGTTAAAAGGCTACTTTCATGAATACTAATGATATTTCAGTTCACATTTTGTAAGATATTTATCTTACAAATTATATTTATCTCGGATAGAAAGGCCTAGAGGAAGAGTGAAAGATAATAATAATTAACTGCTGTAAACAAATTAAAAACTCAAATATTTGTCAGTTGTCGAGGATCATCTCTCATAATCTCTTTTAAACCCAGACTGTTTAGTGATGAGGTATAGTCATACATTTGGCAACTGAGCACATAAAATAAATAAATGATTTGTTATGATTGGGCGCAATACACTGAACAAAAAGAAAGAGTTGATATTTATGATTAATTATTTCCAGAAAAGAATTAACCATAGAAGATCCGCTAATACATAATTGGTTATTATGATACCAATGTTAAGTCCATTTTTATTACCACTAGATTAATCCTCCCTTTAACGATTCTCCAATAATTGTGAGATTCAATTTAGATTTTAAAAGAATTCATTTAATATAGGTTTTTATATACCACTCATCTGGTATCTAAACTTAACTCCAGGTTCTCAAAATCATATTATTTATAATAAGATATGACGTATCAGCTGCTATAGAAAAGGATGTCCAACAGTAGAGTTCTTTCTTATAATGAATGATTATTGTTACTAATTGCCTAATAAGTACATTAATAGAAATTTTAGTTTGGATCTTATCTCTATGAAAGAGTTTGTCATTTCATCCAATTGTGAAGAAAAAATTAAGTTGTTTTTGGCTAGAATTCCTTTAAATTCTAGTTAAAAAGCAGAGCTTAAAACGGGGAAAAGAAGTATTTAAAAAAAGTTTAGGTATAACTGAATTTTTTATTTTCGATAGTTTTTCAGTTCTTTTGGAACTAGAACTTTTTTTTTTGCAACTTTTCAAGTAAATGTTTTACAGAACTTTTATTTTAAAGTTCTGTCAATTTTGCTGAAAAAGTTTATCTAAAAAATTACTCTATTCTTAGCTACTTAAACAAACAACACATTAGAATCATTTGCAATAATTCATTGAAGACAAATGACTCTATAACTCTAATCTAAGCCAAATTATTGTTTATTTATCATTTGACAGAACTTCTTTTTAGAACTTAAATAAATACAAGTTAAACTTTTACCATAAGTCTGGAATTTTTATTACAAAAAAGTTCCTTAGAACTTATACTTTAAGAAATTTTTTCCTAAAAATTTTCACAGAAACTGTTAATATTAAAAATTTTTTAAAAAGGTTCCATAAAAGTTTCAACTCCTGGTTTATAGCCTTCATTATTAAATGCCTAAAATGTTTCGAATGGCTATAAATTCCATTTTAGAGAGTTTCTTAATGTTAGCACGCCATTCTGTTTTTAAATTGTGTTTTATATGGGTGTTCCTCGGGCATCTGTTTTAATAGAGCTAACTTATGAGTAACTAAAAGATTCTGACATTGGTAAATTTTACTATTTCCATTTCATTCAAAAATTAAATTGTTAACTAGGTTGGGCTATTTATAAGGCATAGATATTAACTCATTATTTATATTGCTTTTAAATAAATACTTACTATCTTATTTGTTTGTTGTTAGTGTTACTTCTTAATACGTTGGTCCTGAATTCCTATGGATATCTTATTCCTATGGCTGGGATTAAATACAGTTTGACAACTTATGAGTCTGCTCCTTCTTACCTGTTGACTTATACTCTGTATGCATACATTTATAAGCATAAATATAGCAGTAGTGTAATGTCGCTTCAAGTAATGATTTTTGTTTCTTTAGGTGATTCGATTTGGCCACGATTGGGATCCTACCTGTATGAAAATGGATGAGGTTTTATATAGTATTGCAGAAAAAGTCAAGAATTTTGCTGTGATTTATCTTGTTGATATAACAAAAGTCCCAGATTTCAATAAAATGTATGAATTATATGATCCATGTACTGTAATGTTCTTCTTTAGGAATAAGCATATCATGATTGATTTAGGTACAGGAAATAATAACAAAATTAATTGGGCTTTGGAAGATAAACAAGAAATGATTGATATTATTGAAACTGTATATAGAGGTGCCCGAAAAGGTAGAGGTCTTGTTGTATCCCCTAAAGACTATTCAACGAAATATAGATATTAAATTTGCCTTATGTCCGTTACCTTTAATGAACTGTATTTAATTTAATAATTTTGTACATAATAAAACTTAATAAATATATTATATCTGTATTCTTAATTATTCTCTCTCTAACCCTAATTTTCAGTGGCATTTTTGTATTTTGTTTTATTTAGTTGTTTTTTAAGTGTTGAAGACTATATATTTTATTCAACCATTGTTGTTCTTGCAATTTCAACAAATATTTTAGTATTGCAATTTATTCTTAATGAAAGCTCAACCAAAATGTGATCAATCAGCCATCTGAAAGGAAATAACACCTTCCCCCTCTTCGTCAGAAATGGATTTTTCATATTATTATTCTAGATCTTGTAAGAACAACTTATTTTTTTTAACTTAGAGTAAATATCAGGAAAGCTGCCAATCATGCTCTTAAAAACTTTTACTGTTAAATAAGTATGGGTCTGTTTTTGTCCCTCCATTAAATCATTTTTATGGTATCAAGGAGCATCTGATCTCATTTATCATCAAGAGTTATACTACATTTTATAATTATCATCATAGTGTAATAGGTATTATCATTAGTTTTATTACTAAAATAGATCATAGTTTTATTTTGAAAACACAAAACTAATTTAGATAATCTTGTGCACTCATCACACAACTTTCACTTTACTGTTCTACTTTGAACAGAGATTATTGTCTGGCAAAGTGCATTTTTAATGGAGATAAGTCTTAAAGAATACCTTTATGAATTTTGGTCATATTTATCGATGTGAAAACTCATTAAGAACATTGAAAAAATACAAATTAAATTTATTATATCAACAGTAAGCAATAAAAACTTCACAACTCCATCAGTCTATTTTAACCATATAACTGTCGTCTCTAAAGCCCACCTTACATGTTCAATTTAATTGAAGCAATATTCTTGAACATTGTATATATAGTACCAATGTCAATTTAATTGTTACAATATATCCCTAAGGTGGTCAATACATTCACTAATGATACTAATGAACTGCGCAATACGTTTTGTTTTCGGAATCTCAAGAGATACGCATATAACCCAGTATTACACCAAGTTGAAGTGGCTCTATCCATCCAACCGCCGTTTGTACTTTCTTACCACTTTTCTAAACCAAGTCATCAGAACTCATGCTACTTATTTACTTATGCTATTTTATTTTATTATATAGTTTGTATTATACATATCAGAATGTTATTAGTGTAATAGTTATATTTTTTGTTTTATTATTTTTTCAAAATCTTAATCTTAATAATAAATGTAAATAATTAATTTTATGTATGGCCACACAGGCATTTATTCTGTATCTGTAATTTGTCCTAAAGGGACAACAGTCCCAGGATAATAAAAAAAATATTTTCATTTTTCATTTCATTCAATACTGACTCAATAATATTGAATGTGTAAGGTGGGCTTTAGCCTGATATAAAAAGAGGGATTTGAAAGTACATACATTTAATCTAAGAATTGTACCACATAGTAAAAATGTAGAAATTAAATCTGCGTTACTTTTACATGTATTTAAACACTAATTTTTCTGTTCTTAAATAAATGCATTTAAGGTTATCAACATATGTTTTACTCATCCATAGAATATTTTAATATTCCACTTATTCTTTAACACAAGTACAATAGTTTTTAAGCAATTTCATTGAATAGATTCAGTGGATTATATATATGGTTTTCAAATTTAAATTTAGTTTAGATAATTGATTTAGTTACCATGGTAACATTTTGTTAACATTAAATAATGTTAGTTTACAGAAACTATTATTTATAATTTTTTAGTTAGTCTCCATTATCTTTGACTTTGTATCTCAAATATTGTTTTTTGTAAAATTCTCAGCTTTCCAATGATATATTATACATGTAGATTAACATATTATATTACTTCCGGAAATTTATTTGTTTTTTCTCTTTTAGTCAATTACCAAATTCATAGTTTATATTGAGCCGTTTTTTATTATGACTAATATTGAGAGACAGTTAATTATTGAGAATAAACCAAACTAAAGGTATTTCAGAGGAACAAATTTTGATAATTGGCCATTTTAAGCCCTGTTAGGTGATATCAATGAAGATAAGAACAGCTGATATCAAAGACTATTAATTGATACCGAGTTTAATCAAAATTGTTGGAGCCATTTACTAGAAATTGTAAAATCGACGATATGCAGTGGCACTTCCGGTTAGCTAATTTTAAAGAAAACGTTGTTGTAGTTTATTTGGACTCAAAAGCCATCAAAACTTGTATTTCTGTTGAAAACTTAGATTCCAATTTTTCAATCTCACAATGCTTTTCCCTACTGCTTATTGCGTATAGAGGTAAGTGGAAGTAAAAAATTAAAACACATGTTTATTAATAATAAGCAGCCTCCTAATTCCAAAAGCATTTTTGAGATTATTTTGTATTTCAAAGTCATTTTTGTGATGGATTACCAGGTTATTAATATTTATCCAAATTAAAAAAAATATATATGTGTTAAACATGGCCCTTTATTACTTGTTTGAATATATGAGGGACCAATAATTCAGCTTATATTAAACACTCTAGAAAGTGAATTAAATTATAAAATTCAATTTTAATAAAACAGTACATAAATATTTGTTTTTTTATGGTCTCATATACTGAATTTAAACGAAGACATTGAGTGTACAGAAACATTCTGGACTTGTGAAAGGATAAACGCTTTTATAATAAGAACAGTTGAATGATTGGATATGATGAGAATAGATCGATAATTAATTTGTATACAAAAATAACACACTGTAGAGGAGACAATTAAAATTAAATTACAAAAAAATTGTTTCTAATTCCAGATGGCGAAATAGAAGTGTTAGTTTTTTATCCTCAGACCAAGTAATTTCCAGTTGAAAACTATTTGTAGACGTTTCTTTAAATTATAAACAGTGAGTTAATAATGTTACATTTTGGTGGAATGAATACCTTGAATAATTTATTATCTTTTTAATCTTAAGAAGCTTGCCCGGAGATCTTACTTTGATTAATTTAAAATTGCAAAAATTCCTTTTTACTTGGTGTAAATATCGAAAATACCAGATATTATTTAAATATATTTTTATTTACGCAATGATAACGATTTTATAGCTAGTCAAGTAACTTAAATTTGATAAAGATATCTCATGAAAAAAGGTATATTCAGTTGTGAAGAGGTTGCTGTTGGCAACACCGTTTATGTGTCAGCTGGTACTCCAGCTTTCGGCCATTTCTCACCGAGACGCGTAAGAGATCAGAAATGTTTCGGAACTTATAGTGCGCCGCGTTCCCGAATTATCGTGCGATAACCCCTTTCCCTATATTAGTAGCCCTTGTGTAAAAAAAGTGTGGCCGTTTGTAGTGCTCTAGTGAATGTGCTTTCAGAATGGAAACAGCTAAGGAGACTTGCCCATGTTCGTCTGGGTGTGGTTGCCCCGGGCCTAACATCACCATTTCAGTCACACCAACTACTGGTGGCCAGTTTGAATTAGCTGTCACTAAGAACGAAACCATTGAAAACCTCAAGAAGCTTATATCAAAGAGACTCAAAGTTCCCAAAGAGAGGATTTGCCTTCTTCATAGAGAAAGGTACCCACCATTTTGTTTTCATTATTACTAGGGAAAACGTATTGACCAGCTGTTGGAACGACCATGTTCTGTGGATCTTATTGCATCAATTCTTTTTTTTATCTTGGTCCTCGTTGTGGCCTAATAATCCTATAACTTTTGCCAGTATTTATATATAATAATATATGTTTATCAATATTTGACAATATCTGTAAATCCAGTTATGTCATGTTTTTATCATCCCTCTAGGTTTTCTGTTATTTTCTTTATCTCGTTTATCAATGATAATATATTGTATAATCAGTATTTCTTATCTTTTCAAAATTACTTTATCTGATTAACTTATCATATCACATTTCTATATTATTCTGCCTATGTTGTTACTTTCAGGTATTCAAAGACAAATAAAATTTTTCAGTTTCTTCCCATTATTATAATTTCTTCTTGTGTGTTCATCAGTCTTGGGATAGATTTAAGACTACTTTAAACTTTTTTAATCTTCATTTTTGATCAAAAGACTGTGTAAATGTCAAGTAAATAACAATGACAATCAATATTTGAATGCACATAAAATTACACAATATTATTTTAAATTTGACTATTGATGTTGCAAATATGTTCATCTGACTTGGTTTTTGCCTTATGTACCTTAATTTATTTTAGTGTTATTGTTATATATTATCTACTTATAGTATTAGACATTATTCACATTTCTTTGATTTTATAAGCATCAGAAACAGTAAAATGAAAATGTTTCACTGCCGATAAAAAGTACTTTTATAGAATTAAAAAAATGTTTCATGAGGATTTGAGGAGGAGTCAGGATTTGCAGTGTATATATGGTGTATTATACTTGCTGGGGTTTCGATCTAAGCATGTAGGTCGTCATTTGAACCAAAAATAAAGTGCACGAGAAATATACGATATTGACAGAACAATTTATATAAGCCAAGATATATATTTTTATCTTGGCTTACTTATATTATTCTGTCCCGTTCCCTGATGATGACCCACTTGCTTGGGTCAAAACGTTGGCAAGCTTGATAAACCATGTATTTATACTGCAAATCTTGACTATTTATCTTCATATTTTAAAAATAGCATTTTTAATTAAAACAATTATCACTGTAGGATTATGTAGCATAGATATTTCTTTTGATCAGTCATTTATTTCCAGTTATCTATTACTGCTTGGCCATGCTTTTAGATACTTGCAACAAAATTAATTTTACATTTAAAAGTTAAAATTAGCCCTGATAGTCTTATTATTGCTAGCATTATTAAGTATACATATATAATTAGTCTGTTCTTTTGAACATATATGAAACCTTTTAAAAAGAAATTAGGTTCATATTCACTTCTTACATATATGTATTTCTTAGGACCCTTTAAAGTTCTTCAGTGCTGTATTTTTAAAATTGTATACTGGTTCAACGAGAAGGATAATAATAGTTGAAATGTTAGTCAGAGCATTCTCAACTATTAGGTTGCCTTTTTCCTCCCTCTCTCATCTGCGGTACCATACCCCATGTGTCATATATCCTGAGTGTGCCCTCTTGTGGTTTGGTTTATTAAGTTGTGAATAAATTAAAACATAAATTAGATGCGAAATTAAAATCTTATAAAAATAAATGATTATTTAAAGTATATTCATTTCCATTTGAACAAATTTCTACCCACTCCTCAGGTCATGCATGATACTGTTACCACTATACAGGTCATAATGGAGTTAATGGTGGAAAAATCAGAAACTACAATGTTTTCACAGCTAAACGTTCATAGTTTAGCTAGTTTGTTAATTACAGAACCCTAATGTTACCACCTAAACACAATACTGATGTATTCTCAACAAATTTCAAGGTCACATCACTTGTCTCATTTATGACATGTTTCATCCTTGTAGCAATTTGAAATGGGCTGGTTGAGATACCTTATTAAATATCAAGGAATTCTAATATTATAATAACCAAATAAGGTATCTTTGAGTATGCTATTCCTGCCAGTTCTTAGTTCATTCTAGTCACTTCTGTATTCAGCTATTTAAATAAAAATAGATAAAGTCAATTAATTGATTGAATTATCTGGTAATTCTGTTTTTTCGCTTGAGCTTATAGATTGATCGATAATGCTCTATTGAGAAATGTTTACATTTTCCTTCAATACTGTCATGTTTATTCATAGAATATCTATTTGGTAATTGCCTTTAAAATGAAATTTGGCAAACTATTGTGTTAAATGAATTCCAGATAATCACTATAATTTTCTTTTAGTCCATTTGTTAAATAGAATGGAAATTTATCTTGTAGGGAATTTTTTTAAAATAAAAACTTGTTTCTCCCTCAATTTAAAAAATTTAGCTTTCTTAGATTGGATAACTTGTATAAAAGAAACTATTGTTAGTTCTGAAAGTATGTTCAAACACAAAGTAACCTGTAAGCTGTTTTCAGTCCCTTGGTAAACTATTTCCTATTATTGGTATTGATGTTATCTCAATCAAATTATTGTTTTGTTTTAGGCAACTAAGAGATGGCACTGTACAGGAAAACCAATTAGTTAATGGAAGTAGGCTAACTTTGTTACCAAGTGTTGAAACTGGGCTTTTGGTAAGTTCTTTTATAACTGTTAATGTCTATATTTATTAATTACTTTAAATTATATGAATATTGCAATATTTTATTTTTTATCTATTAGAATGGTAATCTTTAGACAATCAGATGTGTGTGTGTGTCCTCCCTCCCTTCTCCATAGGCTATCAGAAGGAAGACTATTAGAATAAGTTTACTATTTCTAATACATTCCTTGGTGCTTTCAGCCATTCATTGACGCCCTTTACTATCATTTAATGTTTTATTGCCCAATAAAATGATGTATTGTATATAAGGCTCCTCCATATAAGAAGATTTATTTTTCTATGAACAAGACAATGCTCTTCATGTAATAACCTATTAAATACTTTCAGTGACGAAATAATTCCTTTTGTAAATCGTTTTACTTCCGGGTTTTACTCCTCCATTTCTGTGTAAAAAGGGGATCCTAATCTACACTCACACACACAATACAGTGGAGTAGATCCCTTAACCCGATCGCCAGAAGAAGGGATTTTGACCAACCTGGCGTCCAAAGAAATTGAATATCAGTATCAGTCGATCGAATCCGAATTTCGATCCTTAAATTTGTAATTTATGAATTTCTACGCGAAAACCACGCATACCTTTTAGGGGGCCAGGGAAGTTTATATTTAACCAGAAGATGTAAGGCTTGTAGATTTTTAATATACACCATCTTAAAATATGAAATTACCGTCAGTTACTCCATATCAGGGGATATCGAAGTCGAAAATTTTAATTTAAGTTTGTTTTTTTTTAATATTTCCGCGTTGCGTTTTCGTTCCGGAAAATTACAATTCCGAGATTTTTCTGAAAAGATTAACTTTCGTATTTTTCGTTATATATATTAACTTTCGCAACTCTCTAAATCTTGATATGACCCAATGTATAGGTATTTATATATACAAATGTTATATACTATGGGTATTAATAACATTTGAATAATTTGGATGTATTATATAATATATTTTCTTGTACATTTGTAGTTCTTCAAAGGTGGTATTGTTTGTGAAATTAAACCAAAATGTTTTAAGGAATCATTTTTATTTAACTATTTTTCAAAAAAAAAATTATCCAGTAATCTTGTGAAAATAAAAATTATGCAGTGACGTTATTGTAAAATTAAACATTAAGAATAATTCGTTTTTATTTCAAATTTCATCACCTAAATGCCTTTTTTAAAATGACTTTTGTGAAAGTTATTGCTCGTAATTGCAGTGATTACTTTTTTATTAAGTATTGTCACCGTATTAGACTCTCTCTTGTTTTATTTTAAATGCCTATTCTATAGTGTTTAATCTGTACATAAAAGATATCTTAAGGATTACTATGTCTTTATTTTATTGTTTGAAATTCTTATTTCTTCACATTCAAAAACGTAGATATGAATAATCTTATGAAAATGTGGATTTACTTTTTTTAATTGAAGAACTATCCAATTATATGTACAGTATACTTTATAACGTCTAATCTATGCCTAGAAGTTTTTTTTCTTGGACTATTGCAGCCATATTCTCCTAATCTTTTTCAAGTAAAATTTCGCCAGTACTATTGCGATTCTCAGATATTACTATCCGTTACTGCTCGTGGTTTTCCCCTTTCGAAATCGCTTACCATGGAGGCAAATCCCACTTGCGTTAAACATTTTCGTTTGAATTAAAATATAAAGCTTAAATTTAATCGATTTTATCTGTATTGCATCCGATGGCAGAATCTTATTTAATTAATACTCACCATTTTGCCGGGTATTTTAAATTAAATAATAACGGCGGGCGAGCTATGTCTGCGCTATAAAGTAATTGTTCTTGTACTTTGTAATATTTTGAATAGGAAATAGGGGGGATGTGAGAACTTGGCAAAGTTAGTTTCCATCCATCATCCAAACTCTTCTTCGACATAATAAGAACCGTATTAGTCATTGGCGTTCATAGAATCGGTTTATGCGGGAGTGCCCATAAGGTTTCTGTTATCATTTTACTCAGCGCCGATTAGGATATGATTGTCGAGAGCTTCCAATTAAACTTCGTCCATTTGCGAGGTATTTTTGAAGTTATTTTGTCTTTCATCTGGATAAAATAAGTTCCTTACACAAGTGTCTAGTTTTTGGATGTATCGTGTCAACCATTCTAGTAATAAATTATACAAAGTTGTGTCCATTCTTAGGTAATTTCTCTAGTTGTCAAGACCCTTGTGAAGCTCGCTCCTTGTGTAATCTGATATATGTAGCAATACTCAATTCGAGTTGGTTTTCTTTTGTTGTGTTGATATTTTTTTAGGTTAATTGCAGTTATTAAAAAAATAAAAAAATCCCTCGTCCATATTACTTTGTGGCTTCAGTTATTTTAACAGGTTCGTTTATTAAGTAAGTTTATTTGTAAAACGAAATGGATGAATAATTTGTAAATAAAATCCAGCGTGTAAATATGCAATAACACAAAATATTTTGTAGTGTATCTTAGTTTCTCAAAAAACGTCAGATATGTCGTATCGTGTCAATCTTCCTTAACACCATCATGGCGTTATGGACATTTAACATTAAAACATTTAAATTTATTGACCTGGAGAACTAATCACTAATATAATCATTACTGAATGACCTATAAAGGATTGTGTATAGTTTGTGTGAACGAGATTGTGGGGCCGGAGGTTTACGAGGTTAATTTAAAAAGTCTTTAAAACATTCAGTTTGCATCAACTATATTGAAGTTTCATTGATTGTTTCAAATCCACAATTTTATTTTGTGTTCAATCGGAACAAATTTTTTTATTTATTGGTTAGCGAAGGTATGAAAGATTTGGTATTTATGCTGAAATTAAACAAATATTTTGTTATCAGAATCAGAATTTTTCTCTCGCTCTTTAGGATTTAAACATCGAATAATGAATCCGGTTGTGTGTCTGTAGTCGAAACCGTATAACGAACTTAGAACGTACTTCTGTTAGTCTGATTTTGACGTAATTTTTAGGTTTGTGCACGTTGTTAACAATGGTTCATTTCAATTATATTTAATTCCATCTATGTATGTATGTGTAAACAGATATATCGAAAACGCTTTGTTTGTCCGATAGGATCCGAAATTTTAAGTAAGAACTAATAAAATAATGTTTCAATATAATACTATTATTATTATATTCCATCACTAGCGGATCTAGGATATAATTTTGGTGGGCTTTAGTCCGAAAGTTTTATATATAACGAAAATTCCTTTGAAAGAAAAAGAGAAAAAACAACTAGCTATATGAATGATGTTTAAGTGATTTTTGAAGTTCCATTAAATGACATTACACGAACAATAATACTTTTTTTCATAATGTTTGATTATATTTTATGATTTTTGGAGCGGAGGCCATAGCCCATGCTCTCCCCATAGATTCGCCTGTGTATCCCATCATATAAGTTTATCAGATGCCATCGTCTACTTTTGCTTGATTATGCACAAAAGTATTTTTGCTGGGAAAAATATGTTTCAAAAAGGCTCTACTCGTTTATTTCATTTTCCAAGTATTATATTAATTTATTAAATTCGAAACAAAAAATTGACCTTGGAATAAATATGCCCTCGAGCAGGAGGACCAAACCAGAAGTGTATATTTATATATTGTAATTTGTTCAAATTAAATTCTGGTTGATTAAAAAAAAAATATATATATATATTTTTTTTTAATTGAAATATATGTAAGCCTGTATCCATACCCAACTGTCCCTTGACGAACGTTTTTTACTTTCACTTACCTATGTGTAATATTTAAGTATTACGATCGTGAAAATTTTCATATCGGAGTTTTCTACGGAAATATCTGTTTTGAGGTCCCCTCAGACCAAAAAACCAAGTCTCTCAAAATGGTGTGTTAACATTTTAACAAAAAAACGCAAAGTCGTACGCAACTGGAATTGTTTATTTATGGTTTTTATATACCTGGGATGTTATAGCAACTTTTTTGTTAACCGGAAATGCCACTTCATATCGATTCTATTACACATTTTAACGATTTTCTCGAAAACGGCTCTAACGATTTTGATTCAATTTATTATATCAGTGTAAAATTAAGGTTTTTAATATAATATATGTCTCATTCTCATCGATGTTCTCTAATTAGAGTTTGAATGCCTATTTTTCAAGTTGTCTTCCACTAAAGTATCGTTCCGATTTTAATCAATGTACCACCGAAGCGAGTACAAAGTCAGAGGGCTTCCAGAACTCTATCCTTCGACTAATCGTCCGTGGGATCAGCCTGCGAAGGGCAAAGAATAGGAAAAGTCCACCGAGAGGTGCTCCAGCTCCCCTCGGTGCCTGAGTTTATAGGTCGGAGGCACATCAAAGTTTTTGATGTGCTATCCTATCCTGTTACTCCAGAATATCGACCCACCACCCAGGCCTGGAAGGTTGCAAGACTAACCCTTTGTTGTTGATCATGGTCGCCGAAGGAAGGGTTGACCCCCTGGACCCTACAGTCCATACCCAGATGTAAATAAGTGTATGTACTCGTATAATGAACTTGCAGAGTTTCCTACTACGAGGAACCATCGGTTCCTCCCCTTTTAATGGTTGTTGTTACGCGGCCTCCTGTCACATTTGTCAAACCATTACATCGCCTTTCCTTGAACTGTCATAGTGCAGTGTTGGCAGTTACAAAGCAACAAGATATATATCTTTTTATATTGCATGTACTTTTTCACATTGGAACCTGCTATAAAAAAATTGATTGGTAACTAAAGTGGAAATAAGGGTAGGAAGCTCGGCTGTTTAGCCGAGAGCTCCCGATCTTTACCGATCCTCTCCATTTACAGATACCCATACATACCCTTCTGTACAGGGCTTTCATATTGTTAATCTAACTTTTATTTATCACTTATCCATAATTTTTTTAAAAGGTTTTTGCGCGAAATGTTGAGCATTTACTAATATAAACCTAATAATATGCAATATTTACTAACGTTAGGTTATTTTTTCGACGAATTTCATGGCAAATGTTTCAGATGAAACTCGGATTTTTTTTCCACTATCTTTAATATCGTTTGATACTATACACAGTCGTTAAATGAAATGGAAAGATATACAAATTGTATAAATTTAACTGACTCGATGGGCAGGAATTAAGGTTGCTTAGTGATAGTTGTGTGAGGCGCACACCATACCAGATTTTTTTTCTTGATATCATCGAATATATTTTTTAATTTCCTCTGATATTTTGTATGTAAAAAGAGGCATACATTATGCCGATACATCATTTCGGTTAAGATAAAAAATAAAAAAAAACGATTGGTTGAGATTGAAGGTGTTACTAACCCTTTATAATGAAATTAGGTCAATCGAAAAGTGGTACTCAATTTCTTTGTTATGTTTAATTTAACATAATTTTTAAGTTTTGTTATTGAATATTTTTTTTTTTTTTAGGCTCAGCGACCCGAACAAAGTGTTATGCAAGCGTTAGAAAGTCTTAACGATTCACAGGTAAGTCTTCTATTCTGTTTTATTTTATTTTTATTTTTTTGTTTTTCTTGTGAAAATATATTATTTTTGAAGAATAGCCTTTCAAAAATGTTGGCCGATTATACACTTCATTTGATGATTAGTAAATCGTAATAAGTAGTTCCTTCTTAAATTTTAAACTTAATAAAGTTCATTTTTCTTCAATATTGCAATAAAATAAAATTTTAGTCATTGCGTAACAAATTCTTCTCGTACAGTAGATGATTTCCTTATTCATATTAATGTATACGAAGTGAAAAGTGAATAAGATATATAAAAAAAGAAAAAGAAAAATGTAATTATACATTTGTGATGTAGTCCACAATTTTACTCTTAAATAGTTGTCTAAAATTGTTTGTTTCGTCATTCTTTCCCAAACAGCTATATCAATTCGTCTCTCTTTTTTGAGCTTTGACGTCAACAGGTATCGAATAATCGTGTTTTCCACAAATTTTAATGCAACGTTAAAAGTAATATTAAGCGATAAAACTATAATTGATTTTCCTTATAATTAAGACAAATATTAAATTGGGCGATGAAATACACTTGTGTCTGATTCATAGAATCCCTCCAAGGAAGAGCTCTTGTTGTTAGAATTAATATCAGTTTTTTCCATGAAGTTGGGGATAGAAAAAATTGATTTTTGCCTCTGTGTTTGAATATGGGAGATTGTTCTGCATTGTTCATTCTTTAAACTAATTTATATTGCTATGGATTATTATATTAGTTTTTACTTGTAAATTATTATAGCTGCTTTGAATTATATAGTAACGGAGGGTAAAAAACTCATTTTGGCATTTGTGAGGAGGTTTAGTTTGTTTTGAAATCCGTTGAATAATATAATCCCACTTACCACTCTCTTCTTTGCTTTGTCTAGTCCCATGGTAGGCAGGGCAGGGAAACCGGGTTTTAGCCCATTATTAAAGCTAATTGATGTTTTAGTCTATGCGCAAAACGCTTTATACCTTATATATTTTCTTGACCACCTTTTATTGAGCATTTCATTATGTTTTTTTGCGCTAACGTTACAATCTCTATAACCTTCACTGTGACTTACAGTTTTTTACATCACAATTTGCTGTTTTTTACAAAACATAGAGAAGAAATGAATGAAACATTGTAGATTTCATTTTGTGGGATCAGAATATTCGCCAGGACAAGAGTGACGAGAAAAACTCTAAACCTCGTTTTTCGAAGAAATTGTCCTTACAGTGTGGCTGGCGGTATTCATTACTTTTTTCCTCTAAAGTTTCATCATTTTGGATCTATTCTAAAGTCTTTTATTGTTAAGGATTTATTTTAACATTTTCTAGAGGTCAGTTTTGAGTTGGAATAACAAAAGTACACATTAACCTGCATCATATACATGATGTTATTCTTTGTTGGTCAGTTTATCCAATTATCTCTTTTTCAACAAAATTCTCTGTAGATTCTCACGTGATAATTTCACTATTTCGACTAAAATATATTTTCACTATAATATAATAATCGATCGCACGATTTCACAACTTGTGAAGCTTGGTTAATTCTTAACAGTCTTGAAACTTCACTACGTGTTACTGTAATGTTACAACGTGCTTCGCTATTCAGTATTTTGAAAGGGCCGATTTGGATTTTTTTTTTTTTAATCAACCAAATCAAGCCAATGCCATTGTTTAAAATATTACTTCAATGTACTTGTGTGAAAGAAGAAGTGAAATATAAAGATATTTCATGAATATGTTTATAACCTTACATATATTTACTATAGTTTAACCTTTTACACGCCGCCTCCTAATTCCTGTAGACATTTTTTTTCTGTAATACTGGGCTTAATATGTAATTCCATTTTAGTTAACTTTTCAATGAAAATAACAGTTTAATAATTAATAGTCGTACAATCCATAATCAACAGATTGTACTATCCATAATCAACCGGTGATGTAATAAAGAGATTTCTGTTATTTATGATTTGTTAGCTGTATTTTTTAGCTTTAGCTCGGTTAAAAATGTAAATCAAAAATTTTATGATAGCCGAACATGGCCAGAAAATAATTTCTATTCAAAGTAGAGCGGTAAATGAAAGTTGAGTGTTGCGCGCACCAGATTATTTCTTTTCTTTTGTTGGTATGTAGTCATCTGTTTATGGTTTATCACTAGAATTGTTATTTACCCTCATACCTGATTCCAAACTGACTGTATTCTGTAAATTGTTAGGCACTCTATTTATATTTTCAGATAGATTTTTTGAATGGCTGTCTTTACCCGAACCAACCCATAGAACAGTTTAAACTAATATGTTTCTGGGAATAAACTTGTTGGAGAGACTGGGTGTGGTTGTAACAGTCGCCATATTGGCGAAACTATAAAAAATTGCCGATAAGTTTATTAGGAAGAAAGTCACGTTATATCTGTCCTTATGTATCCTATATATTATTTCTAAAAAGTGATTTTTTTGTCGATACTCCATAACTTCGTCAATTCTTCATCAAATGCAATGATTGACCACTCATTTTGAAGGTATTCTTCTCCTTCACATGCGAAAAACAGTCCTATCCCCCGAAATTTCCGGAAAACAAGTTATAAAGAAAAATAAACTATATTTGATTGTACCCATGATAATTAAAAAGATCACTAAATTACCTACAAATCAAAAAATATTACAATTATTAACAAAGATACAGTCTATTATATTTGATATGCTTGATAATGTCTTCCTGTTTAAAGATAATTGCATTTAGTAGTAAAATAGTCTACTACACTTTTTTCCTGGCTGTTATATTAACTTTATAATTTCTTAAAGATATTTGGTTGTTCTTACATTTCATTTTTTTTTTAATAATTTAGAAAATACCATGATCGGGGCATTTTTTTATCTTTATTGCCTTTCCAGTCAGCGTTTAAAAATAGGTTGTAGCAAAATAAGTTGTACAAATATTTTTGTCTATTTTGTTTAATGGAATATTATAATCGACCAAGGAAAAACTATTGATTCCTTCCGTACATAATAAATAGGAACTACTTATTTCCATGTTATTTTGCTATTTCTTCACTAAACAAAATTTTCTGCGAATTATTCGCAGGGACCTACTAGTTTAACAGTATTGCTAAAGCATCGCGCTACATTAACGCTGGTTATCACTTCTTTCGTTAGGTTTTAACAGACAAAAGTTAACTATTTTTATTCTATTTCTTTGAATAATTGTTGCTATATATATGTTTGTGTACAGATAATGAATGTTTTTCCTCGTTATAAGTTAAACATTAGTTGTAGCGGCTGGTTTTTTTGCGTAGGAATGCGTTGAGGAAGATTATGACCCAAGCAACAATTTTTTCTTTGCTTTTAGATACTCAAAAAAACGCTCGAGGAAGACCGAATGTTGATTCTTACACAATTGTTTATGTTTTATTAGTTATAAGCGATTAAATCGTTATATAATGCAATATAAGTGATTTAAAACTATTTTGGTATATTTGTTACCTGTCACTGTCACCACCGTTCTTGGGGTTGGGTCGGTTGCAACATTTTCCTTTCTTTTTTTCAATTTGCTTCTATGAGATAGCCATTGTATTTATACTATTTATTATATTTAGTATTTATACATATTAAAGTATTCAATTTAATATTAAAAACACCTTTCTTCTACCTAATTGGTATACTAACAACAGTGAGGACGATTAAATGAAAATTGTCACAACCGTACCCAGTCTTGGTCACAACTACCAGTAACCGATAAATTATTCACTTATCGCTTTAAGATTTTTCTTGATGCAAAGTATAAATGAAGGATTTAAAATTACTAGAAAAGTTAATTCTTCAACATTTATCGATTTGTAATTTATTTATTTTTGTTTTTTATGTTCTCTTGTGTTTAGATCCTCAATGGCACCTGCATTATTTAATTAAAGATATTTTACTTTGTATAGTCCTTTTTATTAATTGAATTTTACTGCAATATTTTATTCTTTATGATGCTTGTTAATTTATATCGTGAATTCGTCTCCTAAGTTTTGTTATCTTTTTATCGTTAATTTTCACTCTGAACCTTATATTTATACATACATTCCCTAAAGCACGAATAAATCTCCAAGTATGGATAAAACAAAATATATGAAAAGTGTAAAACCGATTTGCAAGCGTCCAAGGGATTAACCAAAGCGAAGATAAAAAGATTGCGTTAAGACTGATCTGCCGGGGACGGGTTTAGAGCCGGTGGATGGAAGAATGTGGACATCGATTGGTGGTGTCGGCATCGAACCTTCGGATTCGCTAAACCTTTATTATTACAAATACATAAGAGGGGATAGTAAATAAGATTTTGACCCTCAGTAGGTACAATGCATATAAGGCTACTGTAGAATTTAGAAAGCTCGACTATGAGGAAGTAAACCTAATTGTAGATTAAGATATTCTTTGTGAATGTGAAGCTCTCCCTTTAATGACCTTGACATTCAAAGGGAGCCCTTTAAACCTGAAAACGTTGGGATGACAGTTGCCCTAGGTCTTAAACTTCTAAGCCTAAAAGGTTTGAAGGGTCCTTCAGGTAGCCTGAAAGTCCTCAACAAAAGTTTCTAAGAAAGGGAGTGGAATGTAGTTGATCCTTCCGGAAATGTTGTGTTTATAGTTTATATGAGCACTTGTTCTTTAAGTTTGCGTTTGTTATATTGTTGAAAAATTTAATCAATAATCATCGGAATTAGATTTTCTTTTTTCTTATTAGTTTTTTTCTTATTATTTTTCTTAGTTTAATACATTATATTTTACCCTTATCTTACTGATGTTTCGATAAAATAATAATTGTGTGTTCGAATTGAATTTATTCGAAAATTTGTTCTATAAATGGAAAGTTGTTCTGGGAGCTCTCCTGGAACCGCACGTGGAAGACAAAGCTTAGATCGGAGTCTCTTGGAGAAATGTAAATATTGTATATTTGTGGGAATGAGTTCTAAAAGAATTTTATTTATTTTTGTATTTACCATTAACTTACTTTTTGTTATCTATAGATTTTGTAACCATGTTCTATTTATATTAGCCCTTAATTTGTGAAGTCGTATATTTCTTACTTTCATAATTATACTTTCTTTACTACTACTTATTATTATTTTATGTTTTGTTTGTTCGTTTTTATTTACTTTGTTTCATTTATTTATTTTTTTACTTGTTTTTTTTATTTGTTTTTATTTACTTTCATTCATTTCTTGTATATTTATGTTGTATGATTGGATACTTTTAGATCTAATA